CCCCTGCCCCTGCCCCCCCCCCGGCCCTCTCGGCTGCGGGGAGATTGGATCTCGCAGCCGATTCAGCCGGTCCCTGCCCGTCCTGGGGGGTGGTCAGCCGGCACTCCCAGCCCCAGGCAGCCTCTCCGGGAAAAAAACGCCTTTCCTCGCGAGGCTGACGCACGGCAGGGCGCTCGCCCCGCCGGGACCCGAGTCCACCGCTCGATCCCTGTCTCCGAGGGCAGTGGCAGCCGAGGCCAGGGCGGGGGGGAGGGAGGTTCCTCGCAGCAGGAGTAGGGAGCGCGCCGGGGCCGGCGCATCGCCGAGAGCCTGGCAGGTCGCGCCGGGCGCCCTCCGCCCGCATTCGAGCGGGGCAAGTCTCGCCGCCGGAGCCTGGACGCCGGGCTCGGCGGGGGGGGAGGGGGGGCGGCCGATGTCGTCCCCGGCCTGGCCCCTGCCCGGCGCCCCACTTCCCCCGGGCACAAAAACGCCCGCCGCAGGGCTGGGAAAAACGGGCCGAGACAGGCAGCCCACGCAGACAGATTCGTCCGCGCCCCCTTGTAGGCCCCCGGGCGTGCCCACACCCATAAGCCGCCTGCACAACAGACGCACGCAGAGGGAGAGACGGAGAGCGAGAGAGGCGGAGGGACTGCCAGAGGTATGCCCTGCCCTGCCCTGCGGGAGCAGGCCACGATAAACCCCATTCTCCGGGGCACGAGACATGCCCCGAATGTGACTTCAGAATGTCGTTCGGGGGATCTACTCGGCGCTGTAGAATCATCAAAAGCTCCTTTCGGAGACCATTCCCCGTGTGTGTGTGTGTGTGTCCGGTGGGGGCGCCGACCATACGCACACACACACACACCATGTCCCAGGCCCCTCCAGCCTGGGGGGAATAATTCGCTCGGCACTGAGGTGGGCCTGGTGGCGGGCAGCCCGTGCGATCTTCCAGGGACCACCCTCTTTGTGTCTCCAGCGGGGGAAGGCCCGTCCGTCCCGCCGCCACCGGGGGCCCAACCGGACGCCCGGCAGCCGATCCCCCTTCCCTTGCCCAGCTCCCTCCTGGGCGCGATTTTCTTTCGGACATCTCCCGGGCAGCATCACCGGCTGGCATGCGGGGGGCGCGGGGGCCTCCCGGACCGGTGCCCCGCCACTGGGAATCGTACGATGTTACGCCAACCCCGCGGGTCCTCAGACCAGCCACCGGGTCGCTATGTGCAGCCTCCCCCCGGCCCCGAGCGTGCTCATTTTCCGGGCCTTCACAAGGGGGCGAGGTCGGCCGCGCCCCAGATCCGGTCGGGGGCCCTGGCGGGAGGGGGAGGCAGGCTTGTCGGCGTGCGTGTGCGATTTACATGTCCCCCGCGCGCCCTGGCGCGGCTGGCCTCGGCGGAAAAATCAGGCCACCCAACCGGGGCGAAGCCGGCTCCGGGGAGGGCGGGGCGGGGCGGGGCGGGGCGGGGAGGGTCGCGGCTCCTGTCGGTGGGCGTTTTGGTCCTGTGTTCCCGTGCCCGCGGGCCGGGAACAGAGAGCGCCCTGCCGCCGGGCTGTTCGAACATGCACGAACGCGTGCAGACCAGGACCGCCGACAGCCGGCCCGATCATCGGTCAGTCGGCGTGCCCGCCCGGGTGGACTGGGCATGGCCTGAGGGGTAGCGGGCCCCAGTTCCCGGCCAGGGATGTGAGCGGAGGCCGGGACACCCTGGGGCTCGCCCGTTTGCCTGCCTGTGCCGTCGGCCTGCCTTACACACGGCCAGGACTTTCGGGTTGTTGATCAGCCCATCTTTGATCTCCCCTCGCCCGGCCTGTTCCTCCTCCCCCCCCCCCTTGGAGGGTAAGGGGGAGAGATCGAGATCTGCCCCGTCCCCTCGCGGGCTTTCGCCCGATCGCGCTGCCCCCGACAGGGCCCGATGGATCTCTCCCCTCCTGCTCTGCACTTCGGACCTGGCCCTTTGCCCCCCCCCCTCTGCCGCCCCCCCTCCGCCCTCCCGGACAGCGGCCCGGACGGCCCTTTTCACGGGGTTCCCTGTCCGATGCACCCTGCCTTGGCACCACCTCCCTTCTTTCACCCCCCCACCCCCTCCTTCACTCCTCGACTCCCCATCCTTTCCTTCTCCCTCTCCTTTCTCCCCCCCCCCCCTTCCCCAGCTTCCCCACCCCGCCCGCCTTTGGCCCCGGTTTGCCCCGGGTGCTCTTGTTGCCGGGCCCCATCGCCAACTCCCCCTCCCCACCCACCGCACGGCGGGGTCCAGCCGCAGTTTGCGCTTCGGCTTCCTCCTCCCCTTTTGCCCCCCCCCCCCCCCACCCAAACTACCACCAAATCAAACGCAAAAAAAGCCAACACCGGGTTCCCTTCACACCGCTCGGGCGAGCCCGAGGCCAAGTTTCCCCCGGCCCCGGGCGACGAGCTCCCCGGTCGTGGGACCCATTTCCCGCCGGCCGACGGCGCGGGCTACTTCGCCACCGGTGGCGGTCTGCCGGTGGCTGAGCCGCCCGGAGGACATCTTGACTTCCCGGAGATGATCCTCCCCAATGGGGCCTTTGATATGAGCCACGGCACGCCGGTGCTGCTGTTCAGCCCGGCGGACCCGCTGGCCGGGCACCGGCTTTCCAATACGTCCTCCTCCGCGGCATTGGCCGTTGCGGTGGCCGCCGCCACCGAGGCCGGGTATCTGACACACGCCCCTGGCGGCCCGCCCGGCGGCCGTGGGCCCTATGTCCGCCCCGGAGCGGAGGGCCCTTTCCATGACTTCCCCCCGCAGCATCCCGGCCACCACCATGCGCATCTTCCACATCACCATGCACAGTCGCAGCCCCATGCCTCCGGCCACCACCACCACCACCACCATCACCACCACCACCCACCGCCGATGGACATGGGCTCCTCGCGCGCGGGTGTCCCACGGCCGGCCTTTGCCGCCCTGCCCGTGGATCTGGCTTCCGGCGCTCCTCCACCCGGCCAGTCGGGCATGTATGGGCTGGCCGCCACGCCGCCATCCTCCGGGCGAGCTTCCTCCTCGTCACCTGCCACCATGGCCTCGGATTCGGACACCGGCCTCAGCAGTGACGAGTTCCCGGCCGCCAGCTTCGGCACATCCTACACCGGCGCCCCTCAGCCGGAAAAGCACCTCCTGTCAATGCCACCCAGCTCGGCTGTCGGCCATGACGAGCATCACAGCCATCCGGGAGTCGGGCTCCCCCCGCAGGCGGGCTACCCACCATCCGTGCAGTATGCGCAGCCCCGGCACCAGCAGCATCCGCATTTCCCCCCCGGCCCGGCATCCTACCCCGACCGAGGTCCCCATCAGCAGCTGCACCCGCCGCACCCTCCCACCTACCAGGGCTCCTATCAGTCGGGCATGGCCTCGAGCGGGCAACTTCACCACGGCGCCCCGTATCACGCCCACCATCCCCATCCCCACTCCCATCCCCACTCCCAGCACCATCCCCACCATCACCAGCAGCAGCCCCAGTCGCACTTGCATTCGCAGCCACTGCCACCGCCACAGCAGCAGCAGCAGCAGCAGCCGCACCCCTATGACCATGATCGGTCGGCGCATGTCCCCTTCCCTCCAGGGGCGTCTGGGGCTCCCAGCGGCCCGGGCAGTGCCGCATCTTTGCACCATCAGCCCAGTGACCTCGACGCCTTTGCCGGGGTGGATCACTTTTTCCGCCTGACACATCACCAGGATCCCCATGCGGGGCCTGGCAGCGGGCATGGGAGCTTTGTGTCGGGCTCGACCGCCGGTCCCGGAGCCGCTCTCGATGTCTCTTCCTCGCCGGATACAACGCACTTCGGCTCGACTTCCTCCTTTTCCGAAGGGTCCGACCCTCGGTATCCGAGCGCTTCGCCTCCCCGTGGGCCGGACTTCGGTGCCCACCATCCCCCCTCCCACCACCATGCGCATCACCAATCTCCGCATGGGACGATGTCGACACCGGCGGCAACACACCTGGACCAGCCTCTGCCCTTCGTCGGCCCGACGGAGCTCACCACCTCGCATGGTCCCAAGCATCTGGCCATCGGGGCAAGTGCGCCGGTGGCTCGCCACTCGACCGAAGATGTGCAGCAGTTTTTCACCGACGACCCGTCTTCCAGCGAGGTGGAGCCCGCGGCCACGGTGCCAGGGGTTTCCGCTGCCCCGGCACCCAATCCCTTCCCGGCCCCGGTGGCGGTGCTCACCACCGGCGTTGGTACTTCCGCCCCCGTGGCCCCGGTGGCGACCCTGGCGCCGCCAATCGAGCCGACTCGGCAGCGCTCCCTCTCCTCTTCGCCTCCGGCCACCGCGGTCCCGACGGCCCCGACGACGGCCCCGACGGCCCGGCAGCGTTCTTCCTCTCAACGAGCGCCATCGCCAACGGCCACCTCCGGTCCCAAGGCCGACCCGGTGCTCGCCCCGGCCGATGAAGTGGCCGCGGTGACCGCCGCGGCCAAGGCCGCTGTTGCGTCGGCGAGCGCGGCAGCGGCCAAGGCCGCATCCATGGCATCGGGGTCTGCCCCGACAGCCGGGGGGGCTCGTGCTGGTGGCCCTTCGGCCTCCGGCAGCCGTGCCTCCCCTCCGGGCGACGAGTCCGATGATGAGCCTGCCGCGCGGGATGCCTCACGCACGGCCAAGAAGTCCGCCCACAACATCATCGAGCGTCGGTACCGGCTAAACATCAATGAGAAGATCTCCGACCTGCGGGATTTGCTGCCCCTCTTTCCGCCGGCGGCGGCCGGGTCCTCGCTGTCCTTGAGCCCGGCCACCCTGGACCAGCTTGGCGCCCGGGGGCCTTCGCCCAATCCCGACGCCATTGGTGTCACTGTGGAGAAGATGAACAAGGGCAAGGTCCTGAAACGTGCCACGGACTACATTCTCCTGCTGCAGGCCCAGCTGGCTGCCTTGCGGGCGGAAAATGCCCGGCTACGGGATGTGGCCCTGTCGGTGCCCGGTGGGGCTGGTGCCGCGGCCCGGGTGCCACCCACTCCCTTGGTGATCACCCTGGAATTGTTGGATGCCGCGTCTACCGGGCATTTGGATTTGACAAATCTCACCCTCTTGGATCGGCCCTTGAGCCCGGGGGCCGCGACGGGCAGTCGCGATGGGACCCCCTCCACCGGCATGGCTCCGGCCGGGGTCGCTGGCGGTGGGTCCGATGAGGATGACGAATCCGGGGCTCTGGCCTTGGCCGTCACGCGCGCCTCCTTCGCGACCGGGGCCCGTCGAGCCGGGGCCACCGACGACTCGGATTCCGATCGCGAGGACGACGACGAGGAGGAGGACGAACCGGCCGCCCGGCGAGCCCCACGCGCGCGTGCCCCCACCGCCAAGCGTTCACGCAGTCGCAGCGCCTCGGTCTCCTCGACTCGGGGTCCGGTGGCGGTGGCGTCCACGTCAGCGGCCGGGACCGCCAAGCGTACACGCACGGGGGGGACTCCGGCGGCTGGCTCGGCGGCCGGAGCGCCTGCCATTGGTGCCGAGGCCACTCGCGTTGTGCTGATGTTCTCCTTTTCCATTCTCTTTGTCTTCCAGCCGTCCCTCCTGACGGGCTGGCTCCAGGGAACGGCCACCGGCACCGGGGCCCCGACCGGCAGCGGTGTGGCAACTTCCCCGGGCCCCAATGCCGGGGCGGCTCTCCTGCCAGCGGGCATGGTCTTCGCGCCGATTGTCTCGCCGACAGCGGTCCCGCCGGCTGCTCAGCCCGCCGGCACTCCGGCGACGGGCACGGCGGCGGAAGCCGCGGCAGCCACCGGCACCCCGGTCTCGGCGGAGGCCGCGTCCGCCACGACCTGGATCCCCGCTGCCCCGGCACCGCCTCCCCCTGGGGCCTTCGCCCATGCGGCCCAGCCGGTTGGGCCCCCGCTGCCGACGGCCAGCCGGCCCCGGGCGAATATCTTGCTCCGGATTCTGGCTCGCGGGTCGGACTTGGTGGCCGCCGGATGGTGGATGATTGTCCGAGCCACGATTGCCTATGCGGCGGTGGTGCTCTTTGTGTCGATTGGCCATGCGGTGGCGGGCTTGGCACCGGCGCACGCGCCCGGCCGTGCGCTCGGTCGCGGTGGCCTGGTTCGGGCGCTGCGCCGCCGGGCTGGCAGTGTGGCCAAGCTCTTGGCTGTGAATGACATCCTGGGCATGGCCCCCCTGTCGGCCAATGCCGGGGGCAGTGCCGCCGGTTTGAGCAACCGCCTGTCCGATCAACTCTGGCAGTCGGCCGGCGGGGCGGATGCCCCGGGCCCGGCGGCCGGAGCCGCGCGTCTCCACCATGCCCGGGCGTTGGTGGCAGCGGCTGCCATCACCCCGGACCGGCAGCAGCAGCAGCAGCAGCAGCAGCGGTCTCCCGGCACCGGTGATCGTCGGGTGCTGCTCTTGCATCGGGCTCGACTGGCCTTGCATGAAGCCCTGGCGCTCGCCGGGCGCCCGGAGCCCGGGTCCTTCGTGGACTCGGCGGCCTTGCTGGCTTGGGAGAGTCTCCGGCAGCTGGCACATGCCACGGTGCCGGGCGCCGCGTGGCTTGACCGTGAGCTGGCTCGGTGGTCGGTCGCCGGCCGGGCGGCCCTGCTGGTGCGTGCGGATGCCAGCCGCGCACTGGTTGAGTTGGACTTGGCCTTTGGCGGTGGCATCGGCCTGCCGGCTGGGGCTGCATTCGACCCGTGCAGCGCCTGCCTGACGGCCATCGGCGGCGACTTCAGTGTGGGCATCTCGGCAGCGACGACGGCCGCCGCGGAGGCTCTCTGCTCGCGGGAGGATTGCTCCTTGGCGGCGGCCGGGGTCCCGGTTCCGGGCATCCTGCCGCCTGGGGAGATCGCTCGCCGGCGGGTGGACCGCCTGCGCATGGCTTTGGCGGCGGTCAACGCCGCGGAGGCCTTGGCTCTGGCCCCGCGAGCCATGGGCGAGGTGTATACCATGGCCGGGATGGCCATGCATGCCAGTGTGCCTCCGCGGCTGCGGGTTCTGGCGCGATTCTTCCTGCGCCAGGCACGCGGCCAGTTGCTGCCGCTTCAGGCGCGTGCCGCGGCCGCATCGCCCTTTGCCACGAGTGTGGCTCCGGGCCCGGCGGCCGGCCTGGCGGCTCTCTGCGATTCGAGCCTCTCCCTGGCGTCGGTGGCCGCGCGCATTGGCTCCGAGCTGGCATGGCTGGCCGAGCCTCGTGCCCGGGCTCTCTTCTATGCTCATGCCACGGATGCTGTGGCCGCCGGGGCCCTGTCCACGCCGATCGCCCTGCCGTCTCTCATGGCGGATGCCATCACGGCGCTGGTCGGGCCGCCGGGTGGTCCCTTTGCGGCCGACATGTCGACCCCGGGCAGTCGCAGTCCCAGCCCGATTCCCGGGGATATGGGTCCCGGCGGCCACTCGGCCGGTGGCGTTTTGGCCAGCACGGCCAGCGCCGCCGGGGCCATGCTTCCGGATGTGTGGCAATCCTTCGAGGCGCTGTGCGCGCCGGGGGTGCAAACTGCCTCGCCGGCGGCCCGGTTTGCGGCCCTCTGGCGTGGCCAGCGTCTGGCTGATCTGCTCTTCAGCCTGGCCTCGCGCACCGCCTCGGACCCGAGTTACCTGTCGCAGCTGCGTGTGGCCCTCGGGCCTCAGGCTGCCGATCCGTTGGCCATCGCCGAGCATGAGCTCGAGGAGCTGGCCTGGGCCGCGTGTTTGGTTCGCGATGCGGACTCCCTTCGGGCCGCCGCTCGTGGGGCGCATGATGGGATCACCTTCTCCTGGGCGACGGCCGCCCGGTCGGCCGGTGCCTTGGCCCTGGCTCGACTGGCTGGTCGTCACCCCCACCTGGTCTCGGTGGTGGGGGACCTGCGCGATGTGTCCCTCGATCCGGACGGGTCCTTGGGGCCGCTGCTGCGCCAGGCATCCGTGCTGCTGGCCCGGTCCCGGGCCGATGGCAAGCCCGACCCCTCCAAGGACAGCTTGGCCCCGTGGATGTGCGTGGTGCTGGCCGTGGCGGCCGAGTCGCTGGTGCTGCGAGGCCGCCCGGGCGACGCCACGGATCTGATCACTGCCTTGTCCGGGTACCTGCTTCGTTCGGACCGACCGGGCGTGCCGGAGGGCGCCCCCGCGACCACGACCACAGCCACGGCCATGGCGGCCGCCCCGGACGCACGTCTCGTGGCGGCCGGGCTACTGGCGCGCTATGACGCGGCTCAGCGCCTGCTCTTGACGCATTTGGACCTGCTGGTCGCGGCACGCGAGCCGGGGTCCTCGGCCGAGCCACTGGCCGGGCGCCTGGCGGCCGACTCGTCCGTGGTGTTTGATGCCCTGCGCGCGGCTTCCGTGGCGCTGGATGTCTTTGCCCTGCGTTCGCCCCTGGCGCCGCGTGTCATGCCGCCGCCGCAAATGTCCTCGCCCAAGCTTCACACCCCGGCGCCCACGTCGTCGGTCCTGTCGTTGACCTCCTCGCTGGCCTTCGACAGCCCTTCGCTGGCGGCTTTCTCGCACGGTCCGGCGGTCCGGGCGTCCCGCGTCCCGGGCCGTGCGCCCGACTGCCTGGGGGTTGGCTTTGTCCGGCCTCCCTCGCAAGCGCGTCTGCTGCTGGTGGCCCGGGCCACGCTCCGGGCCTTGTCGCAGTCGGTGCCGGTGGCCGGTGCCAATGAGGCGGCCACCGCGGCGGCCGCCGCCCCGGGGCACCAACAGCAGACGGCCCTGCTCCTGTGGAAGTCCATCAGCCCGGCGCCGGAAACGGCGGTCGGCACTTCCTCCTCGCAGGAGGACATTGTTGCGGCCGCCGGGAGCGCCATTGCCCTGGAGTTTCTGTCTGACCTCCCGGATGCTGCCGCGGCTTCTCCGGCGGTGGTTGTCTCTTCCGCCCGGCCTGCCGGGGGGGTGGTGGTCGAGCAGGCAAAGGATGCCGCCTCGGCTGGCGGGGATCGGGCCATCGGCGCCACTCGCGGGGGTCTTTTCCGCCGGCGGGGTGTCCCGGCTTCGGGCTCCGGGCCTCAGCTGTGGCTGACCCACCGTGTCATGGAGTATGCCCGGCACTTCGATGCCGGGCTGACTTCCTCCCTGTGAACGGCTTTCCCCCTCTGCTTGTTGGGAACGGTCCCTTGTCCTTGAGCAGCTGTGTGCGGCGTTCGCCTCTTATGGATTTGCCTGTCGATGCCCCTTCTGCTTTCTGTGTTTTCCTCTCTTTCTCTCTCTCTCTCTCTCTCAATATCCTTCCTGCCTCCTTCGCTAGCAATACACACATGCTTCCCCACCGTCATCTCCTCTTATGTCTAAGTGTCTGGTTGCATTTGCTCTTCTCCCGGATCCGTGCCTCTTCGCTTCGCTTCCCACAGGCAGACGAAACGGGGGAGGAGGGGGGGGGGGGCAGCTACACCTCTCGGGCTGGTCCTGCAAAGGGCATCAGCACGATCGGCACGCGTGGAGGATGGCCGAGGGGCAGGGGGCGACCGCGTGCGATCTGCCCCATACCCCCGGCTTCCCCCCCCCCCCTCGCGGCCAGCCACCGGACGGCGGGGCCAGGGGGGAGGGACGGGGACCTGGCTGGTTGTGTGACTCTCTGGGGAGGCACCCTGCCAGGTAGCAGGGTGGGAATGCACGTGATCCTCTCCCGAGACCAGTTTAGGCGCCGCTCCGGCATCGCGCCATTTTTTGCAGGGCACCGTGTGTGGCCTTTTTTTTCTTTTCGCATTTTTCTCCTCCCCCCCGTCCGGCACCCTGGTCGAGGGGCCATCGTGCGGGCGGAGAAATGCCCCTCTCCCATGTACACACCCCTTCCCTTGGGGCCGGAGGGTGCAGACCCGGGGGGGCGAGGGGGAATCGTGTTGATTTCCACATCCCTGGGCCCAATATGCGCGTCTGCGGGTCCCCATTACATGTGTGTGTGTGTGTGTGTGTGTGTACGTGTGTACGTGTGCATGTGTGTGAGGTGGTCCCGCGGCAGGCGCCCACGAACTGGGGGTGAAGCCATTCGTGGTGCCCACTGAACCACCCTCCAGCTGGCAGGGGTTCGGACCCCCTGTGGACCTAGCTCCTCCATCTGCCCCCTGCCCGCCTGCCCGCCCGCCTGCCCGCCTGCCGTGTCTGCCCTGAGTTTTGGTATCCTCGAAAGTCCGTGCTGTCCGGGGTGTGCCTTGCTCCGTGGGCCTGGCGTTCTACTTGGAAACCCCTGCTCGGAAGGGCGGGGGGGGGGGGGAGCAGGCAAGTGTCTGCCGACTTGCGCCTGAGCATTTCTCTGGCGCACTTTCATGCACCGCAGAGGCGCAGGGCCAAGGCAGGGTCGCCGGTTGGGATGGGCTGTTTTCCACCACCCCGCCGGACGGGCCCTTTCGCGTGGGAGTGCGGATCGAGGGAGACCCAGCTGCCATGCTGTTCCTGGTTGCCAGGTTGCCGTTGGCGCACTGGCGGGGGGGGGGGGGGGGGGGGGGGGGGCGAGAGGGGACGATACCTCGCCCGGACGCTACAACCCGGCATGCTTGCGGGCCCCTCCTGCCTCTCATCCGGCCCGGAGTATAGCCACACGCCCTGAGGGCGTCCACGGGTGGTGGGCGCGCGTGTGTCAGGAGGCACTCCTGGTGGCTGATGGGGGGCTCCCGCCCGGGGAGGGTGGACCCGCAGCGGGTTTTTTTTCTCGCGGCCGCAGTATGCACATGGCCTGATCGCGGCCCTCTGCCGTTCGGGGCTTCCGCCGCGTCCCCGCCCCCTCCTTGCCAGGGCAGTCCGCTGGCCCCTCGCCCTGCTGTGCAGCCGTTTTTTCCCCGAACTGCCACATATCGCCGGCGGTGCAGGCCGAGGTTTCTTTCGCCGGGAGGTGTCGCTTGCGGCGGGTCAGGCAATCTGGCCCTCGGCCCTGCTCGCGCGTGAGGTTCCCCTGCTTGTGCGTCTCCGTGGGATTGCCCCCACGGCAGGCGGTATCCGGCACTCCTGCTGGAATCTTGATTCAGCGTGCCTTCTCCACACACACAGGCAGAGCACGGATGCAAGCCTTTCGTGTGTGGCAGGGCCCGGCCGCCCCCCCCCTCCACCTCCCCCGTCGGACAGCCCGCCCGACCCTCAGACCCGGCGGGTGCAGCAGCCCAGCAAGTAGCCCGAGGGGAGCTGGAGTCGGGTGAGGAAGTGGGAGGCGGAAGGGCAGGTGGCGGGTGGGGGGGGGGGGGGTGAGGTGGGGGATGGGCAAGTGCGCGCGAGGCTGTTTCAGTCCGGGGTGTCGCCCCTATATCTGCCGGCTTCGTGGGCCGGAGCCGAAGCGCTCTTCTTCCCACCCAGACAGTTCCCCTTGCATTGCTCCCATTTGCCCTGCAGGTAGATCCCCGCCTCCAGTGTTCCTCGCCCCACCGCCCCGCCGCCCCGCCGCTGTTGCTTTTACCGCCTCCGGCCCCCCCCCCTTTGCTAACAGCACACCCCGGCCCTGCTGTGTCACACACAGGCTCCGTCTCGTTGCCCCCTCCCCAGCACCATGTCCGCCGACATCATCAAGCAGGCCGCCGAGGGCCTCGTCAGCCACCCCTACTTCCCCCGCGACCTCGTCATGCCGCACTACATCCCCAACACCATGACCGTTGGTGATGTGTTTGTTGTCCTGGCCGTTGTCTTCGGCTCTTCTCTGGCTTTCATTATTGTCTGCGCCTGTGCGTCTCTGGCCACCCGGCTTCGTGTGCTGCTTCCCTCTGCCCCCCTCCCCCCTCCCC